GTTTGTGTGTTCTTTTCCGCCCCCCCCCCCCCGTAGGCTGGTCTAACAGTGCGTGCAATCCAGAAATATCTGCTTGGTACAGACATGACCCTGTTCACCACGGAACACCTGGACGGCGGTGCGCCCACCCAGCCATATCCATCTAATTCCCCGGGAGGCGGCACCACTGAGACGACAGAGACCTACCAGAGCCCACCGTTCACCGAGAACAACGCAGCACCCACGTACCAGGTTCCCATTTACTAGACCAGATAGACCTGAAGGTTGGGAGATGGATAAGTTAAAGGAAAAGTTCAAGGAAATTTCTTTCTGTGATGTTACACATGCAGCTGTTAATGTGTTGATCGGAGTTGTGATTTCGATAACTGTTAAAAATGGCCTCTCCTTCTTTGTTTCTTGTTTTCTTTTCATCCTTAACATTCCAGGTTGACCTGCACTTTTCTAGACCTGTATGTTGAACCAAACCTCTTACTTTAGCAAACCCAGTGTCCTCTGGTCAGAGCAGATGAGAGGAACAGAAAACAGGAGGAGACGTAGAAGACGAGGCCACTTTGCAGTATTCAAAAACTATTTTGACATTAAAAAGAGATGAAGGGACCAACAAGTGAGTGACTTCACCACAAAGCAGTATTAGATCATCAAACACAGTGCAGAAGGCACTCACACGCCACCCCTTCCTCTTGTCATCCATTGAAGTGACAAAATCCCCTTTCATGCCTTTTTTTAGCTATAGTACGGTTGTTCTGGTCGTTCCTTCCCCTTTCTTGCTGCAGTTAAAAGTGATAATGTCTGTTGAATCTGCATGTTTCCAGTCTTAGAGATCAACAAAGTGCCATACTGTACTGTGTGTCTCAGACAGTGACTTAATTTAGTAGATTTCCACATTCTGTAAAAAAAAAAAAAGATTATGTTTTGTGACAAAGTGCAATATCTCACATGTAGGTAGGTATATACTGTACTATATGTAGGGTGGTTACCATCAAATTAGACCAATTTAAGGCACTGTCTCAAATTACATACTAGTCTTTGAACTGTAGTAACAAAACTCAGGCTAAATTGACACGTTGAGCGATAGATACTGTTGTAGAGACATGGAGGCTGTATCAGACAGATCCTGAGAGGACCTTTCATCTTCAGAAGCAATTTGCTCAATTAAATATAATTAGCACTGTTGAGTGTCAAGTATTTTTAGTCTTGCTAATGTCATGAAGCCCGTTATTTTAACACGTCACATTTGACAACAGTGCCACAGCGCATTAAAGTACATTGTCACGGTAGCTCAACAACAGGTGTGATGCCGGTTTATTTGTGTACAAGGGTCAAGATTCACTGGGGGAAACGGCGAATCACTTTACAGTCTGTTCTATTTCTGGGTACTAGGCACAGGCAAAGAGACTCAAAGAGACTTAAAACAGCCTCAGAGAGACAAAATGGCCAGAAAAGTCGCAAACAATCAAAAAGACTGAACAAACAAACAAAATCACCACCATTACCAATACTCAAACAACTACAGTGTGACTCTAAGTTACTATAAAGCAGGGATTTTCAACCAGTGGTCCGCAAAGGTGGATCCTGACCATGTAGTTTCACAGTAGAATTCTTTTTTTTTTATTTTAAACTAATTTCCATGTATTACTTATTGTTTGTGAATATTCAAATCCATGCAAAAATATAACATTTTGAAAATCCAAGCTGACTTTGGGGATTAAAATAGCGCCCATATGGTCTATTCCTCAGGTTATGTCTTAGTCAGAACGGTGGTCACAATTAGGTAAAAGCCCCTGCGACAAAGAGATCTGCAAAGGATACAAAGAGATGCAGAATGACCAAAAACATACTCAAATTAACCACAAAATACTTTAAAAAGCTAAAGAGATAAACACAGCAACTATACAGAGATGCAAAACAACCAAAAAGCAGCTAAAAATGACTAAAAATACTCAAAACAGCCACAAAAAGATTCGTACCGAGTACACAGAGATGTGAAATGACCAAAAAGAGATGACTACTGGGAGACTCTACTAAAACGTTCAGTCTGGGGGTCCTGCTCCTGCTGGAGGGGCAGAGGGGGCCCATGGTCTCATAACCCCTCTACAGTGCCAGAGAATGTATGTAGTGTGTTATTTGAGACAGTGTCCTGTGTTGAGTGCTGTGTGTATAAAATGGGTCCAGTGGGGAGACTCTGGGTGAGTGAGGCCTGTTTATGTTTACATTTTAGCAGCTGCCAAACTGCCCTGTGTTCTTACTGTTGTTGTTTGATTACCACCTTACTACTATGTTGTATACTACTATAATCACGAAGAAGGGGCAGGGGTTAACAGATGAGCTTTTATTCAGCGAGAGAGGTCAGATACAGTCTCAGGCAAAAGAAGATAACTGTGGGATGCTAGCTGGCTAATTCACTAATCCTGCAATCGAGGTAGAGGGGGTCAGAATTTGTTGCCATGGTGACAGAGCCAGGACTGGGTGGATGCGGGTCACCCGAGGACCCCGATGTAGATAGTAACCATGCCAATTATGTCGATGTATATCAGTGTCCCTGTGCTGTAGTTCACGTAAGCACTCTCCATCAGTCAATATGTAGTTGTGGTGTGTGATTGCATCCACGTGCAACAAGTGTACATGTGCACGTGTATTACCATGTAGGAGAGATGTGTATCTCTGCGTGTGCATGTGAAAATGTGTGGATGTGTGTAGTTAAATTTTGTGGTGCATAAAAGTTATTTTTTTGGAACATGTGTCAGAGTTTTAAGTCTGTTGCACCATTTACTCATTTCCCCCCAATAAACATGGTCTTTCTGCTAAATATATCATTATCACTGTCAAGAAACCTGAACCACAAGTTATGAAACAGAGTTTGTATGAACTGAGCCAAATACAGAACTTCACGTTAGCTGTGAAGACCCCTGCTCTATCCGAGCCTGTGTGAACAGCGCCCTCTGCTGACCACAGGAGGCACTGCTGCAGCACGGCTGTCTTTTAAGTAATCACATGAATAATGCATGAAGTTGTTGTACAAAAGTCATTATATATTGAATACAATGCAATTCTTAAGTTGATTCCAGGATCTTTTAACCAGTTTTGTGAGTGAAAGTAGCCATCACTGCACCCGACCCCTCCTTTTGTATTTATTAATCCCAGTTTAGAGTGTGAATTACATCCAACTCCTTATTTTCTCTGATGTTATTTCAGCCTTATTTAAACCTGGCCCCAGAATCCAGGCCCTTGAGCTACAGGATGCTGACAGAGAAGGTCAGTCAACAAATCACAGGCTCGGTGTTCCAGTTCTAAAGGGTGAACAATCTCAGCAGGGAGGGTCATTTGCCTTCTATAATGAATGCCAAGACACTTAATCCATAAGCAGTTATTGAGGCTATTGTCTCACAAATTAAGGATGCACAAGTATAGTTGTACAAAATGGCCCTTTATACAAATTCTGTCTGATCCAGGCACTACTCACTGTAGCTATGAGTACTGGAGGATTATCCAGTAGTACTTTTTCAAGATATGAAGTTGAAAGGTGTTCGGGTACTGCAGGGGCATGGTGCACTTTCTTGTTTTTGCCATTATACATAGCATACAGTGAAAAATACTGCCAGCTATTTTTCCAGAAGCAAAGCAGAGATATATTTACTCTGGCACCTTTCAGAAAGCAGTTTGATTTTAATTCATTCTAACATGACAAACATCACCTTGCAGAGACCTGAGATGTAAAATGTCCTTACATTTTGCTTTGTTTATGGTTGTGGCATAAAGGAACTGATTCAGAAAAGCATTTGTCTGTGTTGGATCAATGTTCAGTTCAGCTCTCTGAAGCGTCGCCATACCACAATAAAGACACTCATTAAACACAATATTAAATGATAAAATTCTTAAAATTGTCATGAAACCAAACCAGAATTTATGGCTAGCATTCTTCTGTAATGACCTCAGTAGTTTGCACCATTAGTGGAAGAGTCTGCCATTCCTGTGTTCGACTTATTTAGTTCCTTGAATCAAATTTAACGGTGATAAGTTTAAGTCTTTGTATGTTTATTTTCCTTCTCATAGGAGGGATTTAAAATCATGTGGTCTGGGTTTAGTACAGTATGCTAAAATATGAAAAAACACCAGTACAGATCTTGGGTGTTATTGGGCTGCTAGTAGCTGTGGTTGGGTACTACTGGGGTACCAACAGAGGTATTGGGTACCATTAATGAGTAATTAGGTAGTTTGGGGTACTGACAGGAAAGGTTATATTACTGTGCTCGGTGCTTCTGTCTTTTCAGTCAGTGTAGTAGATAAAAAAATAATGAAAGCATTGTTTTATGCTCTGGCTCATGTGCACTACCGTGGTATTGGTTGGTTGTAAAATTCAGTATGCTATTGAAGTAAATGGAACCTGTGTGTGATGTCCAGGGTCTGGTTTGTCCTGTACTACTGAAAATATTACTAAGAAACTACTAAGATATTAATACTTATCATTTATTATGATAGAATGCACTCTTGGTTGGAAATACTTTGTTGGACCACTCTTAAAGGGGCTGTTGGCACAAGTTTTATGTCATCATGCTGTTGTTTTGTGAGACTGAGATAAAGAGTTGTGATTTATGGTAACACTGGTACCATCAGTCCTGGGGTTTCCAGTATAATACATTGCATGGGTGTTACAATATCTCCCCCTGTAATATTAACAATAAAAATTCAACTCCATCAACACCGAATCTTGTAGCGAACTACTCCTTTAACATGTTTCTACTGAGTTGTTTCTTCCTGTTCTGAATGTATTGGACCTCTTCAGTGTAAAATCACTGTGTACAGAGATGTGCGTCACTGTCTATTACCCCAATGTGTCTGGACTGCAGTCTGACCGTCACTCCAATAAACAACAAAAGATGTTTTGGACTGTCTGGCTCTGTCCCCGACTTTCACGTGTGTGGTGGCTGTGTTATTATCAAAAGTCAGACCTAGTCAAACACTTAGACCTAACCCAAACCAAACCTCAGCCTTAAAACCTTAATGTCTGTATGAGGTTTTTGAAGTAGAAGGAAGCACGTGTATCCTTAGAAACATACTGTAGCAATACAGTCGTGCACACACACAGCTCTAAACAAAGACACTGAAACATGCAGTGAAAACAGAAACTGTTTTATTGGAGCCAGACAGAAAACAGAGTAACCTGCTTGTTGATGTAATGACAAGCTATGTGTACACTCAGTCTGACAAACGCGCACACACCCAGGTGGGCAGCAGTGCAGGCTAATGGTCCTGAGAGAGAAGATGAACGGTGTACCGAGTGTACCCAGCTTCCCCCCCGACAGAGAGAACATGCCCAGTGGGTCAAAGGATGAATGTGCACAAACAGAGGCAGAGTGGAGTGTGTGCAGGGGAGGGAATGACTGGTTATAAAGAAATGTATACATGTGAACGTAATGAGGAAAGACAGCAGGGACGTTCCATTATCGTTTTTAGGTTCCATCAAAGCCACGTGCAACACCACAGCCCTGACCAGCCAGTGAGTGAAGTCTCCGATGTGGACATAAATGAACATGGCATACAGTGAAAAATACTCACACTGAACCAAGATTTGATCTGATCCAGCAGCTTACTTCGTCACTCACCCTCCTACACTCTGCCCCTGATGGTCACTCAAACACAAAAACCTCCTCTGCATGAAGCAACCAACAATTAAAAGCAATTAAGCAGCTACACTTCAATAAATATCGTGCTGAATAGTTAAACTGAACGTATTTGTGTTTATTTTGATTCTTACCCAAGCAGCCCCTCTGGGGAAATCATACATACTTCATCAACTCCGATGTTGACAAAAGACATTATGTTGTACAGTGAAAGCATAAATCAAGGTACAAAATGAAATGTAAATAAGTATAAATTTGTGTTAGGGAGCAGAGCGTTCTTCAAGTATAGCCTTAGCTTGTCTCGAACCTCCTCCATTAAATAAATGACAGTTCTGGTTGCCAGTACCAGTGGGAGACATCCTCAAAGGACACGATTTCAAAAAGAAGACTTGAGCTGGGGCAACCCCGTGTGTCTAAGCCGTAAAAACCATTCACAGAAGCCTATCAATAGAACCTTCATCAGGAAGTAAACACCATAAACCATCTTAAATTCACCTTCATTGTAAAACACGGGCCCCAGGCTCCTGTGAGACGTGCTCAAACAGGAAACAGGCTACTATTCTCCACACTGGCTGCTGCAGCAGTGGACACAGAGAATTTGCCCCACAATTGCAAAAGGAGAAGAGGCAAAATGAGGGACTAGCTGATGATACGGCTAATTGACTGCAAGGAAGGGAACTCATCACTCTCCCTCATATGCAGGGTCTTGTGGGAGTTGAAGTCTTTGAGGGCCAGTACCTGTCTGCAAGTGGGGCATACCTGGCAGTCCAGCTCAGCGGCTACATTAGCTGCTGTGGTGGGCATCTGCCAGACATTCTTCTTGTTCTTCTTTCCTCCTCCGGGCCCGGTCTGTTTCTCCAGAGCCTTACAGTCTCCATGGGCAGTCAGCAGCTCCTGCTGCTTGCCAGTGTCCGGCAACAGCACCAGCAGCTCGTTGAAGATGCGGTTAAAATCATCTCCGAGCAGGTCCTTACAGCTGTGGTGATACTGGGCTGCTGATATCACACCCTGAGCACAAATACAGGATCAGGAGAGTGAAGGATGCACTGAGAGTTTCAAGCCATGAACATTTACTTCAGCAGCATCAGAACTGCACTGCATTAGCAAGGTGTCTATACTAAAACGTTTATAGAACACAGAATTCATCTGCTGTCATAAGAGTTGATGTAGAGCTGACTTAACTTTGGTTATTACCTGTCTGAACTGTGCAGAGTAGTTTTTGAACTGCTCGAACTTTGACTCGTCGTTGTGGAGGTACTTTCTAATGGACTGGGTCAGCTCCAGGTTCCTCTGCTGGAAGTCCTCTGGCACCAGGTAACCAGTGCTGACCACCTTGGGGGGGCTTGGGGGACGACAACATACATAAAAACACTCAGTACCAGAGACAGTCAACAGAGGTCAACACTTTGAAACAGCCAAATCAAAGGGACATCAGCTATAAAAAGGGAGAGACGCTTACGGATTGAGTGCAGAAGGAGCAGGCTCCAACACATTGCTGTTGAGTGGGATGCCAGTGAAGCCAGGGGGAGGCTTAGGGGCCAGGATTCCCAGGCCGGGTGGAGGTGGGGGAATTGCAGCGGATGGAGCAGGAGCTGAGGCCTTCATCGGGAAGGAGGTCCTGAAGCCTGAGAGATCAACAGTATGAGCTGCTACTTCTATCAAAGCAGGATGACCAAAACAACTGACTTCCAAGCACCTGGCAACACAAGCTAGGCCGTGAGAGCTGGACCTGGTCTGCTCTCCATTCGAATCCGTCACAAAAACACTTGGGTCAGTTTTAACTGACAGATCTTTACGCCAGGCAAAAAAACAAACAAACACCACATCTACTAAGAGCGCCATACACAATACTGAAGACAACCTGTTTTTCCAAACACTTAAAAGCTGTAAAAAGTTTAATTTAAAGTTTATCAAAGCATCTTTACAACCTGCTGCTGACATCTGACAAGATACAGCCTGACCTATAATGAATGTGAGGCTGTTCCCAATATTTAAGACACTGAGCAGGATATTTTACAGTGTAAAAATAAACTCCTCAGTTTCCTAGAATGAACATACGATATAGTTTTGACAACAGTTTCTAAATGAGCTCAGACCTAGCTTCAGTTCAGCCAACACAACAGTGATTGAACGATAACTTTCAAAACTGCCACAGACCAGAAGCGAAACTAGCTCGAGAGTCCGACTTCTTATGGTGACATACAGTATATTAAGCTTGTACTCTCAGATAAGCTCGAGAGTTTGCAGTTCACTTCCAGAAAAATCCAAGCTGTCTTTTCAGAGACAGCATTTGTCAGCCAAGGAAGTATCATTGTAATCAACTTCTAAGAAGACTCCGTCAAGTCTTTGTAAATTAAATCATCAAAACTGAAAGCAGCGTTCACTTAACGCCGAGATGAGCACACTAGTATTTAGAAACATTTAATCACAGTACATGCTCTATAGTCAAGACAGAAAAAATTAAATGTCAAATGATCAACACAGAAGATTGTGCATGTTATGCTGTGCTGTACCTGGTGGTGGTTTCTTAATCATGAGAGCAGGAAACTCATCGTCCTGCTCAAGAGGGGGGTCTGTGCTGGGATGACTGGTTACTGCATCCACTTCCTTGGTAAAGGGTAGTGGTTTCTCAGGGAGACCATTAGTCAGTCCACTCGCCAGTGTCACGGCACTGGAAACAGGTTTGTTCCGAGTTTTCTCAGGCACATTCTCCTTTTGTGCTGTCGTTTCCACAGAGGCTGCATTTACACTCGTCATCCCCGACATCAAAGATGCAGTCGTAGAGGGAGCAGCCATGTTCTTCTGCTGTTTCTTCTTCTTGCTGGCTTTGGAGGTAAGAAGATCAGTGCTGGGGGTGGGTTTTGAAAAGCTGGAGGTCACAGTAGAGGATCTGCTGTTGCCTCCTTTAACAGTGAGCAGAGAGGAGATATCCAGCATGGTGGGCACTGAGCGGAACTCCTGCTGCGTCATCCCTCCACTCTCATCATCTGAAGATGGAGGAGAATGGGTAAAAGCTGCTTTGCCATTCTCTCCTACTTTTTTCCTCCTCCGTGAAGATGAAGATGATGATGAGGAGGACAGGAGTTGGGGGCCACAGGATGCAGATGAATGTGGAGGGGGAGGTCTGGAGGAGGAAGGAGGAGGATTTGCAATGGGTTTAGCTACAGGCGTACTGTTGACCCAAGCAGAATTGGTGCCTGCTGCAGGTTTGAGGGGCCGGATTTTGGACACGAGAGCAGGGAAATCCTCCTCCAGGAAAGATGAAGTCTTCTTCGGTTGGGTGGAGTAGGCTGGAGTCATGGGGGATGCAGCAGCAACATTCGAGAGGCTAGGGAAGTCATCTTCCCTCAGAGCAGCACGAGGTGCTGCAACTACCACAGGGGCTGACTTTACACTGGAGGAACACACATCACAGCATACACTGAATATCTCAGCACACCAGCATCTTTAATGAGAATTTCAACTTATATCTGGAGTGAAAGTTACATAGATGTGGCAGCTGTGGCTCCCAAAAGTGGAAAGTCATCTTCTTCCCCTGGATTAGCGCTCTTCATTGTTCTTACTGTTAAAGAGGTGACGATAAATGCATCAGAATCACAACTGATCAACTCTGCAATACATGTATCAGTCCTTTCAGCTTAATCACTGGCATCCCATCATGCAACAGTACAAATGGAGAAAACTAGCTAAACACTGAACATAAAACAGAGTAACCCCATGTAACCTGCTGCATAAAACTGAAATGACCTGGGGGTTTGCTTGCTGGTTTGATGGGCCTGGGCTCTTCAGCTTCTGTTCTCTCCATCCTCTCCTCTCTGCAGTGTTTGGGAGCACTCCTCTCCTGTACTGCTGCTCTCTCCTCTTGTCTACGCATCGCCATGGATGCCCTGATAGCAGCTTCCATCTGTCTGTCCTCATCCTCTCTGCATGGACAAGCACATGTGGTCAGATGGTACAAGGGTGACAAGGTCATGCAGCCCCTCATTAAATATTGTCCAGGTTCCCTCCTTGAACATGGCGCTGGATGCTGATGTTTAATAGAGGCACACAGTCGTCCATCTCCCATCCATTCCCAATAGCACTGCCAATTTAACTCACCGGGTGTACCTCCAGCTCTTCTGTCCCCCCGGGGGCCTCCCTCTTCCTCCCCGATTATGACGCGCCTCCTCATAGTCCTCACCTGATACCAGACCTAAAGACACAAGCACACATTCATTCACTGCCTCCAAACTACAGTTACATTAACTATAACCCCAGTGGAACGGCAACAGGTGTGAAAACCTTGCCCCCGTGACCAGGTAAATCTTTCATTCACACTCACTCTCACACACACACACACACACACAAACCATTTCGTGGCCTCCAACCTTCATTTCTCCTCTGTTGTCTCAGGGCATAGTTAAATTGCAGGTCAATGTGGCGGTTCTGCCGAGCCTCTGCCCGGCTCTTGCTGTGTGCTGCAGCCTTGTGGGCCTTGTAGTCAATCTCAGAACGGAATGCATGGGTGAACTGTTCTGTCGAACAGCGGCCTTCCTCACACAGGTAATGGCGCTCTCTGAAGTGCTCGCTCAAGTACTGGTAATCACTGTCGACGACAGGGTAAAAATAAATTTGAATAAAACGAATTACACCGGCGACCTGTTCAGGGTGGACCCTGCCTCTCACCCAGTGTCAGCTGGGATTGGCTCCAGCCCCTGTGACCCTCCACAGGATAAGCAGTATGAATGGATGGATAATATACATTTTCAAAGACTAAAAGTAAATCAGATACCAAAATTAACCTGGCTACTGAATCTCCAGCCTCCTTTTGAAGGGATTATTGATGGCCAAGTGAGGTTTCTGTGTGGAAACTGCAAGCTGTACACACCTGTAGTATTCCTGAGAGCCATCTGCATCACAGAAGTGGCAGAAGTAGTGGTCCCTGCGCAAGTGTTTCAGTAGCTCGTCATTATCAAGGTAACGGTCATCGCAGAATTTGCAGAGCGGGTGTCCCTTGTGACTGGTGTCATCTGGGTCTCCGTGCGCTCTGTGCCGTGCCAGTTCCTTACGGTTGTACCACTTCCGCTCATGTGAGAAGATCTGGTGGGAAAAGAGAAGTTTAAAGAACAAGAGTCTGAGGTCCATGTAGTGCCTGCCAATATTTTTGTTTCTCTTTAAACCTTAGGTTGCTTGAGTGTGCAGAATCTAAATGAATTGGTCAGCAAGGCAACCTATCTCAACCATCTACATGAAGCTTTCAGGTATTACATGCAGCTGACTGGAATGGCCACTTAAATAAGCCACAAATTTAGGAGTTACACCAGCTTTTGTCCTACTAAAAAGAACTCTGAGCAAAATCTCCAAGTCAGGAGAAAGGCTGTGTGTTCATGTAAATACACAGACCTACAGTATAGCTTCAGAAGTCTCTGTATGGTGCATTTCACATATTGGCTAAGAGCGACAGTGAACTGACAAAGGTCTTCATTAACATTTGTGCCTGGGCGCTTTTTTTTTTCCATCTGACTTGCTCAAAGTATTCATATTTAATGCGAAGAGTCTTTATATAAAACATTCTTAAAATTTTCAGGCAAGTTCAACAATAAATCTGTCCATCAATAAATACATAATAGAGATTGCATTGCAATGATCATTATAAAGCACTAGAAAACAACTAGTGCTGGGAACAATTAAATCAACTGTTATTTACTGATAATTATGAAATATAAAAATATCCTTTCCTTTCCTGGACTTGTTAACCTGATGCCAGCCCACTAGTGTGCAGGGGGAAGTATTGTTGTCCAAGGCCAAGCTTCAGTGCCCTCAGATGGCACAGAAATTACACTGCATACTGTATTTCAATACCAATCAACAATTGCGACAATTGTGAAAAAAGAGCATTTTTTTTTTTCCCCCCACCAACTTTTTTTTATTTAGCATCCCAAGATGTCACAAGAGCGCTTGTTGGCTGTTGCATGACTGTGATAATGGTGCACCCAGTCATACCCAAGTGTAGGCTACATTACGATGTTCACATTTACAGAATAAATTTTAAAACTGGTCAGACAGAAAATATTTCCACCTAATTACAGTCTCTACTCTAATTAGTGTGTTAACATTGTAAGTACTGGGTATACCTTGAGATGTTTTGTGCAAAGCTTGCAACAGAAGACCTCATGCTGCTTCCTCATGTGCTGCTCCAGCTCCTCAAACCTGGAGAAGACCTTTGGCTCTGAACAGCGGACACACTCTGACAACAGCAGATGCCTGATTAAACACACACATCCCAAGAGAAAATTCACTCCAACTGAGCTGAGGCAAATGTAAGATCAGACCCTACATTCAGAATTTCCACCAAACCAAAGTAACTCCTCATAAAATTACATCCCTACAAAATATTTCCACATAAAGCACACACACACTCACTGAACGGAAACTTTAAGTGTCTGTACTGCAATACAGTCAACAGTAATAGTCAAATCTATCTGCATCTATCAGACACCTAACAGACATGTAATGCCATGAAATCAGGTTAATTTTTTTTAACCAGAGATCTTTAACCAGGCTTCTCTTAATCGCTTACCCTGATTATGAACAAACAACCATGTTACCAGCATTTTGACTGGTGGTTCAGTCTCTTCTGAATCTAGTTGCTGACAACTTCAACATAGTGAAAAATTGGCAATAGGGTTACGATTATAACCAGTTTACAGGCGACACAATCAAACATCAGAGTAAAGCAGTACCTGAACTTTGCATAGATCTTTTCATCTCCAAAGTAGATGTCATGTTTCTTCTCACAGGGGAACTGACGGTAGGGCAGAGAGGAGAAGGCCTCCAATTTTTTCACAAATAACACCTGAAAACACGACAGAAAATCTCATGCTACAGTACAAACACCTTTGAAGAAAGTGTAGGGTAGTACTGAAATATGTATTTACAAAATGTAAATAAATCAATAAAGCAACCATAAGTAAACAACTGGGTAAACTTTAGACTGAAAATGTGAGTCATACAACTGTTATGTAATGTGCTGGGCACCAATGGACCCAACCCAGCCAGCTAAGCCCGTCTATACCTAATGCTCAAATTAAGCAGTTCAAAACACTTTTGACATTAGCAGTTGACAGTAAAGCGTTTCAATGTGTCTGTATCTGAAAGTGGATGACAGGTTCATTGAAGTGGAATACAGGCCCTTATTAGCATGACATGGTCAGTCTGTGTTTACAAGTCGGCCTAAGTTCATTTAGCTACTTGAAACTGAAAGGAATGATTTCCACAAGGAAGGGTGGCTAGCGGACATACACCTAGCAAGCCCACCAACACCGGTGTTGGTTCATGTGAAAGGTGACAACTGACGTTTAAGTTACTACTACAGTTCAATGAATCACTGATTCACTGCTACATTTATTAAACGAGCTACTGCTGGCGACGCTGGTCGGACTACCACATTTATTTGCTCACTACCAACTTTTTAGTTAATTCTACATGACTCAGGTACGGCTACCTAGCTAACCTATATTGATGGACTTGCTAATGCTAGCGTTAGCTAAGTTGGCTAAGCTAATGTCAGTGAGAAACAGTAGCCTGAGCAGTTGTCTGGCAGTGTAGGTTCGTGTCCTACTTACTAGCAATGCTATCATTTATTACGAATCCAACAAAAATTATATCAAATAAATTCAATTGCTTATTTCTTTAATAAGACTACCACTAAGATACGGCCTAGTTAACACCACCAGGCGGCATCCCCGAGGTAGTGTAGCGGAGTAGCGCCCACCTTGTCGAGCTCCTCCCGGCAAACGGCGCAGTATTTCTGCTCGCACAGCACTCTCATTTTGGTAGAGCAGCGGTAACAAACCGGGTGATCACATTTTCCTAAAGCGAAGATATCGACTTCTTGGCAGCATAGGACGCAGTTCTTCTCTGTCTCTTTTGTGGGTGTTGAATCCATGTTTTTGAAAAAGGCACAAATTAACCTCAATACGACTTGTTATTACGGAGAGATGCTGTCTCCGAAGTGCTTACGTAATTATGAAAGTCCCTGCTGATGCCGCGTCACGCAAGTGACGTAATTACGTACGATTTGTATAGCATGCGGATGGACCGACTGCCGCTTCAGATCAGCACTGCTTTGACCTATCACACGTGTGTCTATTAGCGCAGTGACTTTTCCACGTGTGTATTAACTTGTGTGCCGGTGTTAGCTAGAAGTTTGCCCCCTCTCTCGTCGAAATTATGTTCCCCGTAGCGCCTCTCTGCGGTTAGGACGGATAACTGAATGGGCATACTGGTCAGGCTCAGGGACCCAATGGATTAGGGGTCCTTGGTCTTTAAACAAACACATTAACCTGTTATAAGATGACACTTAGACTAAATTAATTTGATGGCACTGTGACAAGCAAGTTCCTACAGATGACATAACTGAGGTCGCCAGACAAATTAATGACCTGTGTACTGTCAGACAAATAAGCACCATTAATGTTTCTCCACATAACTTCAAAAAAATCCCCCTTTACATAACTTCACACAACTAAGGGCTGATTTCTGAATGCATCGATTTGTTTCATGAGTTTTACAATTAAATTCCACAAAAGACAGCTCTATTGTTCTTGACTTTTTTTGTACTGATTTCCATAACAGTGACCTTGTGTTTTCCAGAGCTGAAGGAGAGCCTGGGGACCAGGTTGGGACATCAGAAGAGCTCATTTTATATTCAGATGATTTCTCAGTTGCCTGACAAACTTAGTTCAGAATTTTTACAGAAGGACAAAACAGTGAAACAGTGTAAACAGAGGTAGGGGGAATGTGTTATTGGTGGCAGTATGTGCAGGATGAAGATACAATTTTAGATTCAGTTGACAGTTTTCCAGGGAGTCCCCATCATGGAGTCTATAAGCACTGGTAGCTTTGCTATGGTCAAATGTCCACAGCTGTGAAGTGCCTTGTTAGCTAGCGTTTCTTGTAGTGGCTGTTGGTCAGGCCCATGAGTCTGAAGGTATAGCTGGCAATCTTCTCATAGAGAAGGAACATGAGGGCAGCGGTTAGCACTGTCTGCAGAAGCTTGGCCTCCAGGCCTTTAAACACCCCCAGTATGCCATACTTCCTGCAGCAGAGAACCAGTGTCAAAACAGACAGAAATATACAGTGTTTATATGCTGACATGACGTATAGTTTTTTCAAATTAAGAACATAAAAGCAAGTTGTTGGTGAGCTGATGGAGATGTGTCCTCTGGTTCTTCATGACAGTATCAAATCATGCTGACTGGGTGTGACCCCTTAACACAAAGTAAAGTCAACTCTGTCTCAAATTTTACATATACTGTATCTATGCACTGTGATCAATTCATCAAAAGATGTTTTGTAGCTTCTCGGATTATTTAATTTTGCATACTTTTTGGAGACCTGAAGAGGTAAAACTAACTACTATGTAACAAGTAAAAAGCTAAAATAAGAGGACTTGTGACCATTTTACGTAAAAGAGATGTAATTGTTTTTCTTCCTGACTTGTTAATCATCTTGTGACCCCTCAGATTTTTCATGTTTCATGTTTAAACCTGATTTGAGAGGCCAAACTGAGATGTACTCATCTATGAATGGTTTCATTTGTTTGTTGTCACCCTGATTATTTAACACAACATTTGTGCTGCTAGTCTGAATACATTTAAAGTTAATTTCCATGCTGCTAAAAGTATTCGGCATCCAATGTATGCATAAACATTACATTATACTATATCTAAATACAGAAGTGAGATGGAGCCATGAAATTAGACACAATTACAACCTTATTTGAAAAAACCTGTCATGTTTGTGTGTGTGCACCCACCTCACTCTATTGACCAGTAGACACTTGACAGTCTTGAGGCTGGAGAGTAGTTTTGATGTGTGTGGTGACTGGTTAAACTGACCAAACTGTGGTAGTTAAAAGTATAAAGACATAAGATTAAACATTAGTGTTTGGTCTTAAAACACTTATTTGTATTATTTTGTTGACATAAATTTTTGTCCACTGAAGAATGGGACCATTCATCTCAGTCCTTGAGTCAGATCTGTGATAGTTTTATTAATATTACTGTACATTTACAGAATTGAAATTGCATCTGACCACACCTCTATCATTTACTTGTATAAACAGTGACTGACACACATGGACAAACACTTTCAACCTACCCTAAGAATGGACTGTATCGTCTGCAGTGGGTATGTAACAGCAGTGGCAACAGCTTTGGCCACAGCACCGATGATGAAGACCTCACCAGATGACAGCTTGGGGAGAAACCAAGGAAAGTTTTACGTTTTTCTCTGATGCACATCTAGAGCTTTTGTACAATTGGTGTTGGCACACATGCGCAGCAGAACCATCTGGTTACATCTGCCTCTATATTCCCTCTCACAGATGCTCAAGCCACACACAAAAAAAAAAAAAAAAAAATCACGTGACCAGAATCACCAGGTCTCTGCATATCGACTGTCTACTCATCCAGATGACAGGATGACCTGAAGTAACTCCTCTTCTTCACACTGTCATTGCTTAATTACAAGCACATATGTATGTGTTTTTCACTTATCTTATAACCGTGATGTGTAACTTCTGTTTATCACCAACATTACTGTAATCTTATTATGTATAGATCAATCTATTTGTTAAGTGTTTTTTGGATTAAAAAAGTCATATATAAGACTAGAATGTTCAACTTAAATTGCCCTACTTTCTGCACCTGTACTTTCTTTCCCACCATTTCTTTATTGAATGTATGTATACTCGTACTCCTCCCTCGTTCCCCTTCTTTCTCACTCACCTCCCTGGGAATGCCTCTCCTTAGCTGTCTCTTCAGGCCTTCATAAATCATGAACTGGATGGCAGGGTTCAGCACCAGCAGCAGGGATGGGAAAGTCCCGTTCCACAGAGCTCCCACGCCCTCGTCATGGATGATCTGTACAAATGCATCTGCAAGAACAAAACAGCACATTAGTAATGAAAAAATGTCACATCCTGTATGTGGGGAATAAAGACAGACTGAGAATGAATTCTTAGAGCATGATCGGGTAATGGCCATTTACCCAGAATGCCGGAGTAGTTGGTGGGCCGGATGTCTGCGTTATGGAACTTGGAACCCTGGAGCTTCAGTCTGGTGTTGACCACCCACAAAGGAGTGGTAACAAGAACATTTACAACACCTGGAGAAACAAGGAGGCAGATCAAAATCAACACTGTGTGACCAGTAACATCACCACATTAAATAATGACCGCGGTTTAAATATTTGCACATTTTGTAGCACCGTCTCTCTAGAACACCGAGAGGTGATTACGATGGCTGACATGATGGACTGTGGTTACATTTATTAGGATTTGTTTGCATGTGTTTTGCCATGCTGAATCATAAAATGTGTGTATGCAGTATTGGACAAAGCATGAGCTCAAAGGACACATTACATAATTATAGGTGCTATACACTGAGATAATTACAGTAATAAAAACAAAAAAGCTAAGGTTCATGAGAAGAATTATGTGCTCAAACCCAAAATTAGATGGACTTTTGTGTCCTGAGTCACTAAAACTAGGCTTTTCTAATTGGACAATGCACATCTCACCTGCAGCGATGCCTATGATTAGGTCAGTGCTGGGTGCTGACTGCTTTCCTTTCAGCCAGCCAGCCTTCAGACTGTGGAAGCAGTAGAAGTAAACAAAGTTGGAGCAGCACAGGCTACAGATCACTGGGAACCAGCCTCTGTATGGAGCTAGACTGTGGGTAGGGGGGGCAGCAAACACAGGAACACATCTTAGAGCACTTCTACTGCTACACCTTAGTGGAGATGCCTTTCAGTGTTTGTGTGAAGTTATTTAATCATTTTTATTAAGGATAATCACCTTTATTGGCCAAGTATGTTACACACAAGGAATTTGTTTCTGGTACAGAACCGATGGCAGCCATCTGCGGCGCCACCTCAACCGATGGCTCTAACCATCAGGGGCAACGGTGGGGTTCAGTGTCTTGACCAAGGACACTTCGACACGACATTTTAGGAGGATATCAAACCAATATGAAATTCAAAAGGCAGCAGCCATCAATGCCACTAGGACATCAGAGAATGAGGTTAAAGCCACAATGTGTAGGATCTGAAAATGGTCAACTCTGGTGCCAGCATTCGTGGTTTTGAAAATCATTCTGTGTGGACCATGGCAGCCTGTGTTAGCATATGTAAACTCTGTTTTTGCATATCTGAACTTACAAAGCTGACATTAAAATGTAATGGTTCTTGTTTCACTCACAGTCCTTCCTCTTTGACAATTTCTGCCAGAATGGCTGGAGTAGATTTGGCCTTCCTATTTTCATCCACTGAACACAAACAAAAGACAAGTTGTCATTACATCGATTACAATAATTACTGCAAATTTCATTTCAGCATGCTCCTTACCTTGAAGCCGCAGTCTGGCTGTGTCAAGTGGGAAGAACACTGTCATTGCAGTCACACTGCCCTAAAATAGGCCACAGTCAGCACTCAGTAGGACGACTAAGCTTGTACATACCATTTTGTTTCATATGGAAATGATCTCACACCAAACATCATTGGCATATCTGGTATTTTATAGTGGCACAAGCATATCTGGCCCAGTAAAAGACATTAAGACTGAGCATACTGTATTTTCTAAAGTACTGTAAATACTACTCAAATCGGCAGGTTTGATAGGTTGTATGTCATTTTAGGTACCGCCGAAGAGAAAGGCTGGCCTAAACATTTCAAGATTTACAAATCCTGGTCTATTTAATGTGCTATATGGGGTTACAAGTGTGCTATATGGGGTTACAAGTCTAAAAGCGCAGGGCACGGTACATTTTGAAAGAATTTTAGTGCGGATGATTAGCGTATATGAGCACTAACCTTTAATACTGCTATAGTTACTGTCGTTAAACAGTGAATTACAGAAATGAATTTTTGAAAGTTAAAGCCTTATGACTTACCACTGCTCCGGACACAGCATGAACCAAACTCTCGTAGGAGAAAACGTCGGAGCTCATCTTGACCGAGGTTATTTATTTATGGTTTGCCACCAGCTATTTGCTGGAAGAGAGTAAATCCAACGACCAATTTTTTAAACTGCTGTTCCTAAAATAAAATAGCTGTTATTCACTCACTGGTGGCTGTTTTGATACCTTGCTTCCTCGTAGTTGACCAGTAGACGTTATTCAGTTGAGCGCAGGGCATGATGGGCAATGAAGTCCTCTTCACGATTCTGTGCTGTAAGCTATATTTTATTATTTGTTTCCCTCCCTTTTTATATTATTTTTAATATTATAGTTTCTAAGCACCTCATGGGGTTAGATAAAATAATACATTGAATGCTGTGCTAAAACTTTGTGCATTTACCCATAATATTTGTGCTAATAATAAGGATGCTGCTTTTTTGGATGAACAGAATCACTTTCATCAGTACACACACACAAACAAACAGATGCACATTTCTGTACGTTTCGTGAGTACAAACATTCAAGCCACACTCAACTTATAATGCTCCTCTAAAACAACAGGCTGTAACAGTACTGATTCAGAAAACAAACTTAATCCTTGTTTAACCAATTCCCTGGGCTTTTCAACTGTGACACTGTCCAATTAACGTTGGACCTATTTAGCAAATTGCAGAACGAGGAGAAAATGTCAACAGAACCCACTAGGACAAGCCACGAAAGGTGAGATTTGCACTTTATTAGAAGCGTTTTCAAGCATCATGGTCTACTTTCACAAGAGAAAAGACTGTCTGATAGTTTTGCTAGCCTAATGTTATGTGAGCCTGCTTTGTTTACCCATCACCGTCAAAGTCCAACTCACAGCTGCTTGCTGCGACATGTATCCATCTGAACGGGACTAGGAAGCTAACAAAAATGCACAGGGAAAACATTTCAGTGAGGAATTATAAATAAGAGGAATCGGTCACAGTGCAAGCTGGCAAACATCAACTGGGAGAAGCTTAAACTTCTTGGTAAACTCGGCTAAAACCATGTCTCCGAAGAAAAAAACTCCCATAGTTTCAACAGAAACACAAGTGTGCTGCCTGTCTCATTATTCCAACAAATCTATACCACCGCCCGACGTTTTATATGGTCTATTTAAATGGGGCGCAATCTTACCTCATATGCTTCTATAGATTTTTAAATTCTCAGAAATATGTTCCTGTCACTCTTTTGCATTTAAATACTGATGTCAATGTGGTCGAAACCATCACTGAATCTCATGCCAGTTGAATTTCTGATCTAGTCTAGGCTATATGTATATTTAAAACAAAGAAAGAAATAAAAAGAACAAACAGTCACACTGAAGAGCCGACTGACAAAACCTTAGTCGGACACAGTCCTGCAAAACACAAAGGTTTACTGGCATATTTGAGGACATAAAACATCAACTGCTACTTCTCAGATCAGAGGCAAACATCTCAACATCTGCATGGCTACACAGACAGATGTGTTTTTAATCCATTCATCTGAACTTTTGTAGCACAGATTTGTGACAAAAAAGTCACTTATTAAAACCTCTTACAGTGATTAGGAAATCAAAGGCATTAACTCAACCTCTCACTCTGAGGCACTTTGTTTTCAGCTACTGTTGTGGAGCTGCTAACTGATCCACTGTACAACACTGGTTATAGTGGGTAGATCCCAACAGTATGAACTGTTGAACTGTTTAACACAGCAGCAGTTTACAAGCTTACACAAGATTTTTCCAGCACAATGGTATTAACTGGTTTGTGAAAGAACTGCTGCCCATTACCATGACGACTCCATCAGTCTCCAGCCCATTCACTCAGCCAGTCCTGACACTGTCTCCTCTGGTCCTCACTCTCCTCCTCAGTCCTTTGGTCCTGCCTGTGTTTTGTCCTCTCCTCCTCTTGTCTCACTCTCTCTCTCTCTCTCCTCTCTTTAATCCTCCTGTCCTCCTCCACCCTGTGCTCCAGCAGGGCCTCCACAGTGGCTGTCAGGGTCCGTAACGAGCGTTGGGGGAGCCACTTGGGATCTACCGTGGGGAGAAAGGGGTCTCCTGCAGAGACAAGCAGAGGCAGAGGGTCCAGGGGAATGTGGAGGAGGTGGGCGTGCAGCATCATGCGGTAAGGAGCATTGTCCGCCCCCGAGCTGTAGGTAAAGTCCCCAACGATGGGGTGGCCTATTGCACTGCAGTGGACCCTTAACTGGTGGGTTCGGCCTGAGGGAGAAGGTGGCGGTGAGGAGCCAGAGAGGGAGAAACAGATTCCACTGTCAGGAGAGGCACTGGTCTTCATTTAAAAATTCTCAAACTGAAAAACTTAACAGCTGTTTCACAAATGTGAAACTTGTGTCTAAATGAATGTTAAGGTGAAAAACAGGCCATGTGTTGGGCTGAGAGAAATCTTTTAATTTCCTTTATATGAATGGGAATAAATGAGCGCTGTTACCAGTGAGTGGCTGCAGCAGCACCTTGGTAACGGGGTCTCCATCATACAACCCATACTCCAACACCTTCAGCTCAGTCTGGCAAGGCTTGGGGTTCTCACAACCTGACAAGAGAAGTAATGGGGGAAAATCTTAAAATAATGACAAATAAATCATGTGTAGTTATTTTCAGTTTAACATTCTGGTTAATTTGACACAAAGCTTTAAAATTTAAAACATTTTAGCAGATTAGGCATGTTATGTATGTATGGTTGAGTTTAGTCATGACAAATCTGAATTAGTCACTGTAAACTCTATGTTTATAAATGCAGGTGTCATTTATTAGATACACTAATCCAGTTAGTCCTGCTATAAACCCTCCTTCATGAAGGCGACAGTGGTCAGTTTGTGTTCAAACTGTTTCAGAGAGGTGCTGATTCAACTGTATGATCATCTGGGAATATGCTGGCTTTGCTACTGTTGAAATGTACCACATTATACAGAGAGCTGTTTCAGTGAGGCTATGCTGGACAAAATTTGTGTCATCCAATTTGAATCTTTAAAACTTTAAACATGTTAATACACACAAACAGTGAAAGCGATACCAGCTTTATATACCTTCTGTTCCCTCAATACACATCATATGTGTTTTTCCCTCTGAAGAGTTCTTCCCAATGGGAAAGTCCAGAGTTTGAATCCCTTCTTCCACCCAGCCACGAATCTGGAAAGCAAAAAATTAGGAACAAAGTTTAACTTTACAGATCTTTATAATCACACAGGAGTGAGAACAACATGCGCCTCTACAGTCTAATGAGTCACTGCTTGTGTTTCCTACCAGGGCGAGGTAGGCTTTGGTGACAGTGCGGTCTTTGAAGCAGCGGTATGCCCGGCCGGCAGCAGCCTTGTTGAGGGCAACACAAAGAGCCCCACTAGTTGAGAAATCCAACTGATGACAGAACCTGGTGGGAAGAGAAGAAAGATGAGACTATAACTTTTTATAAGCATGAAGTATGTGAGCAGAAATAGTTAGAAGTATTCTGACCTGAATCCATAGTAGGTGCGAGGGTCTGCCAGCTGAGGGAAGCGGTGGCGGAGCTGAGCCTGCACGGTGTGTTTCTCATACCACATCTTGCTGTCAATGCGGATGTCCCAGTGCTTATCCACCACAATGTAGTCGTCGCTCTGGTACAGCACACGCAGACTCCCCAGGTTTGCAGGCTCTGTGGTCATCATGTGCAGTGTTTAACTAACACAACAGCTCTGGGGAGACAAGGTGGTTGTCTTGATATTTCACTGTGTATTTATGGATATGTCTCAGGAAGACTAACTGAATACATTTTTTCTCTTTTAAAAACATTTATCTGAATGAAACAGGCTGTGGTGGAAGAAGATCTGAACCTGAAACTTTGGTTTAAATACTACAGTATACAATACTCCATTACTAGCAAAGGTTTAGATAAGTAAAGGTATAGTAGTTTTATAATGATGTATTACTTTGTATAGTCTATTATGATTTTATTATTACTGATTCCTTAATGAGATAACAGCATTTGAATTTTGTAGCTGTTAGATGTGGAGCTAATATTAAATGATTTATACAATGTTGGCTAATTTAATCTAACAATGTGTCACATTTAATAACTGATAAAATTGTTTGGCAAATCTGGTAAGCAACAAATTGCAAAGAAATGCAGTGGAGTGAAAAGTACAATATTACCTTACGAAATACAGCAAAGTAAAAAGTACATCAAACTTGTGCTTAAATACCGTACTTGAGTAAACACAGTGGACACAAGCTTTCATTGACAAAAACTGTGTAAACCTTGTCTGAATCCCAGTGCTGGTAGTAGCATATCAGCAGCTACTTGTCCTATTTATTGCAAATACGTGATTTCTACTAAATAAGGGCAACGCACACACGCCCCGAAGCGACTCCACTCCATCCATCGCTACTTAAAAAAAAAAACACAAGATAACCTTTTGGTTAAATACTGGTTAGCATGTTAGCATCGTTTCTTTGCTAACATCATTAGAAAACTACGTTAGCCCAGACAGTGCAGTTTTCTGGATAACTACCATAAATAACTACATTAAGGTTAATTGACTGACTAGATCAAACATTAACGTATACTTTTTTTTTTCGACTTACCGAAAGTAAGCTTACACTTACATGTGAAGAGCTGCAAACAAAACCGCAGATGCTGCAGTGAGGTCAACAAACGCTTCTTCTTCGTCTGTTTTAATATGGCGGATAACAACGTGAAATGGGCATAGCGCCACCTATTACACTGGAGGGTGTAACGTCACCTTACCTTCAGGGTTTTGTTTTCTCTGGGGCTTAGTCCAATTTATATAGATAATTTTAGTTATTTATTAGTTATCTATTGCATATATATATTTATATATACATATAAACGTGTTTATCTTTGCTTCAGTAAAGAAGATAATAAGGTTAAGGAAAGATGACTGTAATTTCATTTTTTTTAAATTAGCACCATCATCAAGAAGGCACAGCAGAGGGTGTACTTCCTGTGCCAGCTCAGGAAGGTCAACCTGCCTCAGGAGCTGCTGATACAGTTCTACAGAGGAATCATCGAGTCTGTTCCCTGCACCTCCATCACTGTCTGCTTTGGCTCAGCAACCAAACAGGACAAGTACAGACTTCAGCGGACAGTGAGGACTGCAGAAAAGATCACTGGTGTGAGCCTGCCCTCCATGGAGGACCTGTACACCTCACGGGTCGAAAGGAGGGTGGAGAAGATCACTGCAGACCCCTCACACCCCGGACACAATCTGTTTGAACACCTCCCCTCTGGACGGCGTTACTGGTCACTGTGCACCAAGACAACCAGGCACAGGGACAATTTCTTCCCCCAGGCTGTCGCTCTGATGATACATTGTACATATAGTTGTACATATAGATCCGTACATACACATTAAAAGCCGCTGTACCAGAGTCAAATTCGTTGTGCGTCCAACACACCTGGCCAGTAAAGCTGATTCTGATTCTGATTCTATGAAAATAAAATTTTATGAAAGTCCAGTTTTAATAGTCATGTTATCAATCCCTCTTCAGATGAAATGTAGTTTCACTGGACACACTTTCACTTTAAAATTAGAGGTTGTGAGGTCAGAAGGGGTGGTTTCTTACCTGGTGGCAACACCATAAAGCTCCATTTGTTGGACAGCTTTATTCACTGGATGTCAGGGCATGTTAAAATGACATTTCACCATGTAACATTTTACTTGTACCTATATAGTCTAGTTGAATATGTCATTCTGTGTTCATATACTAAATTATGTATTATAATAAAATATCTTCAGAAAATATATACTATTAGTATACATACATATATTAAGTCTCAGCAATAGACAGATGTTCACCATGTATTCTGTATTCATTTCTCACATCTGTACTACAAAGAAGCTTTTTGTTGTTGCCATACAGTACATGTTTAATTATTTTAGTTATTCTGTTTTCCAGTGCTTCAAAAGGAGACATTTGACTGATTTGTTTGAATTGCCTTTATTAAAAGATACAGGATACATTAGAAGATGCAGTATTTGATCGTCACAGGCTGGGAGGCATCAGACCACAGGTGGAATTTTCCAGCTGCCTGTGCCCTTAAAAGATTCCCTGTGAATACTGTATCTGGCAGCCACTGACATCTAGATGTTGTGTCAGTATCCTTTTTAAAACACATTAAATTTTACAATGAAGTCATAAAAAATGAAGAGTTTAGTTAAACCATGCAACACCCAACAAGCCAACATGTACACTAATTCTTAGGTCACAACAATTTCTAATGGTATTTCAGTGTTCAATATGTTCAGCAACAATGACAATATCATATTCAAAGACTCAACACAGTAATGATATTTCTTAATTTTTTACAGGACTGAATTCATCCCTTGATATACTTCTCTGACAGGACTCCATATAGGAACAGTTCTTTAATGTTCAAAGCAGAAATATGTTCACATCTTGTGTCCTTGGTGTGTGGGAGGGGTTTAGAAAGAGCTAATTTTGTTTATGTTACCGAATAATTAGTATCAAATCCTAAAGGACACACATGCATCTCTTTCTACACTATACAACAGTTCAGTTACAGTTCAGTTCTCGAATTCGGCTGCTCTTTTAAAAAGCTCTGCAAAAACTCAAGAAAACCGGTGCTTTGAAAGCAAAGACAACCTTTTTTAAGAGTCTGATACAAGCCCAAGATCCTAAGCCTGTAGTGCACGTTGTGAGAAGAAGTGAATCTGAGCTGTATCTTGTCACCCCAGTATAATATAGTTTGGAAAGACAATAAGTGGATAGAGGAATCAGAGGGATTTCTTTTAACTGCAGTGGATGATGTAGCTACACTGAATATAGACTGTAATCATACAAAATGTTTGTGTGTGCTTGATTTGTTTGCTGCAATTAAAAGGCAGAAACACGAAAACATGGAATTTAGATTAAAATTTAGATTGCCAACAATTATTTATTTCAAGATATGAACATACCAGAGTTGATCAGTCTACAGACTAGTCAATCAATACATGGAGTAATGGAACGACATGGGGAAAAAAAATAGAGGAAAATACATGTACGTTTCTGATTCCCAGAAATTTTCCATTTTCTCATATTTTCAGAACCAATGGTTTTTAGCCTGACAGACAAAATGGATAGATGGATTTTTACTTTTCTATTATTCTTCTTTGACTGGATTCTTTTAATAATGCTCTAAGTTTTGAAACCACAGTAAAGTGAAAGTAAAATGTTGCTATGGATACAGTAAGCTACAAATCCAGCCCTATTTCTCTTTTTTGACCTGTATGAGTTTACGTTTTGGCACCATTAAAAGTATGCTGAATTAGTTATTAACAGTTTGTATTTGCAGTGTACCCATGAATATACAGACAGTGATCTCTGGATTGCTTTGATATGGGAGAAAACGTAAAAACGTGAGGATTCTCAGGCGAGTTCTGCGGTTATAAGAGGCATCTATTTTAGAGTAAAGTTCAGTGTGAACATTTGTGACAATGAGGATGATGGCATCCTTAACAGGGGTAAGTCACACTGAATCTAAAACTATGTGTGCCATGTTTGTGTGTTCAGATTTGACTGAGAGAAGGAGCATAATGTGACACAGATTGAGAGTTTGAGTACCCTGTCTGCCACCATGAGCTGTGTGACACAGCGTCAGCGAGATAAAGTTAGACTACACTAACTTCCTGTTGTATCTTTGCCATGTCTCTGCTTCCAGTACCTCTTCAGGATCTTTTACTGGTAAACCTTTTATTGAATTGTCTGACATGTGAATCCAGAATTCCAGCTGAGTCTCTAAACGCACTGCACATCTACATAGTGCATCTTCTATTTGGGAAAGTCTGTTTGACAAATACTGAGTAGAGCTGTATTGTGCATTCAGTGCATCTCGTTTGTGTTGCAGTATATCATGGCTTTACAGTATTAATAAATACATCTTACAAGTTGCTGCAAACAGCATCTGTAGCTTGCTGATGTACAGTATCTCACTTTAGCTGTAATAAGTTTTTGTTTTGTTCTGTTTCTTTTGTGCCTCAGCTGATGTCCTTTAACCCTGCTTCTGCTGACCACTCCCTGCTGCTGTGTGAAGGTATGGACACATGATGGGATGAGGAAGAGGAGTGGAACTGAGTAAACTGAGAGTAAAAGGAAAGGGAGACTTCATTGTGAAGATAATTTATGATGGAAGGGATACAGATGTAGAGATAAAGTCCTAGGTGCTCAAAGGTTTCAGGAGACCTGCATCAAACAGACAAGGACGAAAAGGCAGAAGAGGGGAACCAGGAAGAAAAGAAGGGGCAGGAGAAACACAGCCTGGTGTTTCAGCCATTGCATGGCTGCTTTCACAGGAGAAAGTGGAGGAGGGTGAAAGAGGAGAAGGGAAAGAAGAGGAGCATCTCTATCTTTCCATCTATTCATTCCAGTCCTTCTTGATGTCGAGGTTCCACTCCCAGGCCAAGTAGACATTCTTGTCGTCGTCGACGAAGCAGGACTTGATCTGATAGTGACCGCGTGAAATCATGCCTGTGGGAGCCTCATCAACCGGGCTCAGAAACTCGTGCTCCTCGGCCCTCGGCCCATAGCTTCCCACCATGTATGTCACTTTGTCCACTGGAGGGAGACACATAGTGGGCACTTATTAAGCACAGTACGATGATTAACGTTCGGGTGCTTCATTTCTTAGAGTGGGCTACATTTGATGGCTAAAGCGAACTTACCTCTTACTCCTTTTCTGTAGGTCACATGATGATACTTTAAGCCAGCAACAATTTCTCTGTTCACCTGCAGAGACACACAGTTTCATCATTCATCCATGGCCACAGCAACACGGCCACCTGTTTGCCCAATCCCAGCACACGCTGAGTGAAGACACTGGTTCACCAAACACAAACCCCAGTGGTGGTGGAAGTACTCATATCCTTTATTTAATTAAAACTAGTGATACCACAGTGTAAACATACTTTGCTACAAGTAAAAGCCCCACAGTCAGAATGGTACTTAAGTAAAAGTACAAATGTATTAGCAAAGAAAATATATACTTGAAGTACCAAAAGTAAAAGTAGTGATTATGCAGAATGGCACAGTTCACATGAATGTCAATCATATTATTGGATTATGATTACTGATGCGTTATTGTGTTTATCACTTTCATGTTGCAGCTGGTAAAGGTGGAGCTAATGTCAGCTACCTTACTTTATGATAATCTGAAGTACTTTACATTCTGCTGGGAAGCCTGTGTCCACCAAAGGTGATTGGTCGTTCTCCTTTTCCCTTCAGGTCCACACTCTGAACTCTATTTCTACTACAGCTGTTCAGTCTCTTCATTTCAACACTGGCAGTTTAGTTATTATTTTTATTTATGCTAAATTACTGTAAATCCTCATCTTATTTTGGACCCGATCCTCTTTTGTTTGAGCAGCATATGTCCAGATATTAGCATCCACCCCAGTACAGAAATATTTCTCACAGTCTGAATCACTCACAGATCATTAGAGGAGGTTGTATTCAGCTGGTCAATGAGTGTTTTGCAGCAGCAACAAGAAAAACTCACCCTTAAACCATTACAAAAAACTATCCTGCTCTGTGGTGGCAATTTTCCACAACATGCTCCTATGTAGGTGGGTGGGGGGTGGGGGGCTTTTGCATGTCTGTGCCCTGGGGCTCAGTGTCTCATGATCCATCCATGGATTAAGCCAAAAATTACTTTTAGAGAAATGGAAAAGAAGTGACTTTGTAACTTTAGAAATTTAAAAAAATAACCAATTGTTAGAACAGTTGCTGATGTTAAATGACGAGCTGCTTATACTGGTATCATAAAACAAAACAGCAGGACTCATTTAATATAATAATCAAACCTTTGTTTGATATTGTATTTTGATGTACAGTACACTGTGGCTTAGAACAACATTCCTCTCTTTATCCCTTACAGGAACTAATTTATTATCTGTTTGTTCATCCCATCCATACACGTACACAGTAATCCATAATGCACAGTAAATGTCTCTGTCCTTAATATACCTCTGTGGCTGCATTTATCCATCTTACCTTGAAGTGTATCTTCAGTCTGTATTTCACTCCTTCCTGTAAAGAGAAGCTCTTCTCTTTCAAGGTGCTCAGGTCTCCTACAGACACATACACACAAAAACAACACAACAATAAAACATCACTCATGGATGAACACGACACACATGACATCAGCTGTTACAGTTTCTCATACAACATACAAAATGGCACACACGGCTGCTAGCGTACACGCTGTATGCAGTGAATAGAGATTCAGTAGGAGGTGTACTGGGTCACAAACTTTTAAAAAAAGGTAAGCATGATTGCATTAGATTAAAGAAAAGGTATGAATAAATGAATGAGTGGAGAAACATGGATTTGGTCCACTTGTCCCCTTAGAGGGAGGGGTCACTGCAGATCAATGCCAACTTGTTCTGAGTGATCTTCATCCTGGTGAGAGTGGCCTCCCCCAGGGTGATAGTGCTCCCACTCGTGGGCCACTGGAGGGTTTGATGAATATGAAAAAGATGTGACTCATATGCTGCGGCCTTCACAGTCACCAGATGTCAGCGCAGTTGAACAGCTATGGGAGATGTTGGACCGACAGCGTCGCCATCGCCATCATCAAAACACCACCGAGGAATATCTTTTGGAAGAACAGTGTTCACCCCTCCAGTAGAGTTCAGAGACTTGGAGGTGCACTGAAGCCATTCTGGTGGCATGTGGAGGCCCAGCGCCTCACTGAGACATGTCATGTTGGGTTTCCTTTCCTTTGTCATATGTGGTGCCTTCTTCCTCCATATCTTAGCACAACTTGGATATATTAGCAATAGAGTGTCACTAGTAAAACCACAGCTACTCTTGTTGGACTTTGTCTTTGTAATGCTGTGGGGTTGAATGGGTTCATACACAAGAGGAAAAAGCATCCTGGGTTATTGTAGAAGCACACAGCAATCAGAAATGTGTCCACTGCCTAATCACTTTAAATCTCAATTTAAGCCCAACCATCAACCCTAAGTGCTTCCTAATGGAAGAGAGAACAAGGGAAGGATGAGATAAAGGACAGATAGAGGAATGGGGTGAAGAAAAACAGACAGTAGTCATTAGAAGAGGAAGATAGGAAAGAAATAGGCAAAGAAAGGAAGTGGTATGCATTTGTAGCACTTTTTGACACGTTAAGTAAAAACACCCAACAGAAAGTTTTGCTGCTGGTGTGTGAAAATCTCTTCACTGCACTTACATTGAAATTCCACGTCCCCTTGTGGTTTAGGAGCTCTATCCCAATACATGATACACTTTAAACTCCCCATAAGATCAAATCAAAAATGTATCTGACGAGCTAATAAAGCTGTTCCTCAGAAGCTGCCATTTTGCTTCATCTCTGTCTCTTCATCATTCACTCTCTCTCCCTGCATGAACTGTGGTGTGTAACTCTACTGTCTCCTCCCTCCGACTCCTCTCCTCGTCTCCTTTCTCTGGAGATGGAGGAGAGAGAGAAAGAACACTGGCCTCCCCTGATGCATCTGACCGAGAAAACAGGCCAGTGTAGAAATCAGTCTACCTGTTTTAAATCACATGGTGCCATAAAGTTTGGTGTCTGACATACAGAGAAGCTGCTTGGCGTGAGTGTGTGTGACTGAGCAAATGTGTAGCAGCAAAACAACCCTGTGGACATAAATGTTTAACAAAGTCGGTGCTTACATTTAGGGCACAAGAGCAGTGAAATGTCAGAGTAAAGGAAATTGCTTTGTGAAGTGTGATGTGGCAGCAGTGCAGCCTGTGACACATCATGTTCTAGGTGTCTTATTAAACAATACAGCAGTGTACTACCACCTGAGACATGTGGACTCAAGAGTGAGGTTTAAATACGGTACGCGTGGTACTGAACCTGTCAAAGTAATACCACTGCAGTGAAATAACCTCGTATAGAAATAACAGAATGAATATAGAATGCGTTGTAAAACATTCTGATTCCCTTGTGACATGTAACATACGCTTTCAGCTGCACTAGGTCTCAGTACTGTGCTCACAGTATATGTTTTTTGGTACAATTGGCCTCATTGGGTTTAGCCCCTGGTGACTCTCACGTGTTACATACACACCAGTCACAGAAATAATCTCCCGTTAACCTGCGAAATTGAGACTTGCCGGTCGTTTTAACCCTGTACCACTGTTTCATAACACTCACCCAAATTCTGAGGTTATTCCACAAATCCTCACTCTTCTAATGCTGCAGAATCAAAAATAATATGTTCCACTTCACTTGTTTATTTTACTCATAGAAAAAAGATGGTCACAAGAAATGACATCTTCACTCTGGCTTTGTGTGAAAGAGACATTATTATTATTATTATTACTAGCAGCAGCACAGTGGTTAGCAGGAAGAAGGTTCTGGGTTGAAGCCCGTGGCCTTTTCTATGTGGAGTCTACATGTTCTCCCTGTGCCTGCGTGGGTTCTCTCCAGCTGCTCCAGCTTCCTCCCACAGTCCAGCGCATGCAGCTTAGGTTGACTGGAGATTCTAAATTGCCTGTAGGAGTGTGTGTGGTTGTTTGTCTACATGTCAGCCCTGTGATAGACTGGTGACCTGCCCAGGGTGGACCCCGCCTCTCACCAATGTCAGCCCCCCCTGCGACCCTGTTCAGGAATAAATAGTACAGAGAAATTGATGTATGGATGGATTATGTGAGCTGCGGTAGCCAGGCGACAAAAAGAGAGACATCATCATTTCCTGACCTGGACCACGTTGTTTTTGACTCTGTATTGTTAGAAGAGTCTAAGAGGATTCGGGAAATACCTTCAAAATTTGGGTGAGTGTTATGGAACAACGGTATGAGGTCCAAATGATCAGCAAGTTTTAATTTAGCAGTTTCACGGAAAATTACCTCTGTGATTCAAGTGTATGTAATACAGAAGAGCTGGGGTCACACTGGGTAGTGAGTGTGCATCTTTGATCATTTCATTACTGGATAATCTGACACTAATAACAACAGGCCTACATTCATAGAAACAGAAATTAAAAGTTGATAAAAGGAAATCAAGTGACTGTGTGTGAGAGAATCTGAAAAATACAGAAACCTTGATGCAGTCTATAAGATATTGTATAAAAAATGACTGGCCCTGAAACATGTGGAGTTAATATTCTATCAGATCCATTTTCAAACCCTTTTAAACTCTGGCAATGGATCATTTGTGATGAATCGTCTACACAGACTCTTCCATTCATTTTGCTGCTTACAGTACAAGTTGCAGGGCATGATTAATGACTTAAGATGCCCCCTTCCTCACAATATTCTAGTTTCTTATTCAGAGCAACGTTTCAACTATGATAAGATAAAGATAAATAAGAGGCACTGAAGATGGTAATGGTGTCAGGAGAGCAGACAAAACATAAGAGAAGAGTAAGCAGAATGCAGACTGTTTGCAGCCCACTGTTTCTATTATGATAACACTGTATTAATTACCTAGATTTGGTGATATGGTGACTTTGCTGAAGTGAAGTCAAACCGGATAGCAGTTTAGCCAAATGATCCGTTTATTTAGAGGTAAGAGAAAATGAGACACCTGCAATGATGAAACATGTGTGCGTTCAACTATGGCAAAAATGCCAAGTCAAACCAGAAGAAAATGACTAAGCTACGAAGAAGAAATGCTCCAAGTAGCGAGACTTGGAGGTTTGATGTACTGCAGAGGGTGCAGGAGGAAATACGAGGTTAAGACACAGACCCAAACAACCTTGCAGAAGTGAGAGATCGCTGATGGGACGACCAGTCAGGCGTGGAGTAAAACCATCTCCTTTCTTTTCTTCACACACACACTCACACTGTAGCACAATTTACTATATAATACAGTGTTATCTCAACTCCCTCTAGCATCAACACACACACATGCAGAGCAGTAAATACACGTTATCAATTAGGGCACCGTGCTGCTCTGGTAATAGCCTATAGTGTATATATGTATATCGAGGTCTCTAATGTGTTCAGCAACCTATGGAAAGTACATCTCACATCCAGTCTGGTGCCAGCTCAGCTATCTGACTGCAACATGATCCACCAGCAGGACCCATTATTATGCTGCTCCTTGCTTTTTGCATGTATAATGGGAGATGCACAGCACAGCAATTTCTCATTTTCTCTTTAGCTCTACAGTACACACACACACACACACACACACACACACACACCATACATCCCAATTACACCAAATTAATTCAACAATTATTTGAGCAGCTTCCAGGGAAACCTGCAGAAGCCACACAGTACAAAAGATCACCCATAGCAATAACACACCCAAAACCTTTAATCTTCACAGTCTAATCATCAGAGGCCTATTTCACAGAAGTGATTTACAAGCAGTGCTTGTATGTACTGCAGCATCATGTTTCACAATTGCTCACAAATTGCAGATATATTTGCGAGCCCACCAGGGATCTAGCAAGTTCATGCATTAGTTGTAAGTACAGTGTTTGTCTTGTTTCATAAAATATGTCAAAATTAATGCAAGAGGAAATTATTTCATGCTGCACATTTGATGAAACAGGCCCCAGACTAACTGCAGACCATAAACAAATAAAACCATAATTAAAAGATTTCTACCCAGTGGTAAAAGCTTTTCAAAGACAAAACTTATGTTAGCCACTTCAGGCCTAAAGGTGGTGATGTCAGCTGTTTGGCTGAAGGACTCACTGTGCAGAGCCATGGATACAGTATAGTCACAATGATATCCATTCAATTCAATTCAATTTTATTTGTGTAGCACCAAATTACAACAAACGTCATCTCAGAACACTTTACAAAGTAAAGTCTAGACTTTACTCTTATTAGTATTATAGAGGAAAAAACCCAACCAATCCCTCTTGAGCAGCACTTGGCGACAGCGGGGAGGAAAAACTCCCTTTAACGGAAGAAACCTCCGACAGAGCCCGTTTCTTGGTGGGCGGCTTTCTGCCTCAACCGGTTGGGGTGAGTGGATAGAGGAGAGAGGAAAGAAAAGCAGATGTTCACTGAAACATGCACCTTAATGGTTGCTAGAACCTTCCCATCTCACTGTGTTTGAATCACAGCAAACTGCATAGTACTATTGCCTAGCAACCAGGTGACCTTTCCTACTGGTCTGATTTGATTCGTTTTGTCTGAACATCATACAATGTGTGTGTGTGTGTGTGTGTGTGTGTGTGTGTGTGTGTGTGTGTGTGATAGGCAGGAAAAACCTCAGACAAGGAAAGATCAAAGCAAATCCTGTTTAGTGTGAAATCAGGTAGGAATACAAACACAAAAAGAGCAGAGGTGGGAGGATCAGTCCAAAATTATCAATACTACCGGATACAAAGTTTTGTTTTAGGAATCAGTTATAGCAGCAATAAGATTAATACCAAAAGCACCAACCCTGCAGAAAAATGTACAAACTCCAACACCGATGTGCTAAAACGAAGCTCCTTCTCCCAGTTTCCTTTACAGCTTCTAGGATTGTTTGTTTTGTTTTCCACTGGAGCATCGCGTCCACACCACATGGGCTGACCCACCAACCATGCACGCTACACGAGACTTAAAACAAACGCACCTTCGAGGTACATCAGACAGCCAAGCTGTAAAGTGGAGAGAGAGGCCAATTTCATTATACCAATAAAATTAAATAAATGTAAAAACTGTTATATTTATTTATCAAAAAAAGAAAAAAAACTGTTCTGTTTTCAGAATGTATATGATCAAGTGAATAACAGAATATAGTAAAAATAAGGTTTAATATTTGGCAAGAAATACTCTGTTAAAAATGTTTTTACTTCATAAGTCATGACACTACACTCCCTTAAGCTTTGCTTTCAACAGTAAAAAAAC